ACTTTCGATCATCTGTACACGTGCCATTTAATTTGTGTATTACACAAATCTTTCCACGAAACAGGCAGTTTTAAGTGCAAAAGGTGCGAAAGTGCATACTCCCGTTACGATAAATCAATAACACTCTCGTGTTACCGACATTTCATGCATGCAGCACGAAACACAACCAAAATTGAGCACCCGCTTGAAAAATGGGCGTAGAACGGACACGCACCAAGTGGAAACTTTATCGGCAGTACTTGAAAATAGGTGTAACGTAATAATTAAAAAAATGTAAATGGGCGTAAGGCGCCGGAATCAGCCGAGCGAAAACGGTATCAAGTAAAACGTCGGCGTGACCGCTCTCAGGTTTCTCTCTGGTGAACGTAGCCGCGTCGCGGCGGCAGCGCGCGTTATTCACTCTTGCGAGAACGCCGCGCTTTATCATCGCATCTCTCGCGGCTATCAATTGTTGGTCGGGTTGCTGCGCCTGCAGGCGTACTATGGTCCAACCGTCGAAGAGAAATAAAACGAAAATGAAAAATGACAGTTACCCAATGTGGTAAAATTTATGATAATAGTTCAAGTCACTCGTGAGGTGACAGAAATTGATATTTTCTATGGAAGTTAAGCAACGGTTTCGAGACGAGAGGGTCGAAAGTAGCTGCTTGCACCCTCCTCTAGATGGCAATAACGACGACGATCAACCCCTTCTTTCTACCAAACACCCCCACGGTCGGCGAACAGCTGTTCAGCACCGCCATGGCGCACGCGACGTCGCGACGTCAAAAACACTTTGAACAATTTCAATTTATCCATGCCGAAAAAATCTTTCCGCGTCGCGACACGATTTACCTGGTGATAAACTTCCGATCGTAGGCTGGTGTTTCGCAACAGTGTTTCGGGCAGTGCCAATCGTGTAGTCGCGAGTGATACTAAGGGTGACATTTCAGAAATATTAGGTGTGAATTTTGATCCTTCACAGGTAAGAATTTGTTTTTATTTACTTATTAACACCTTTATGGTTTGGATAATAGCTTAGAAGCAGGCGTCGCATAATTTTTAACAAGATAACTTCAACGGAAAGAGCGAAACATAAGATCGGAGAGAGATATCACATACATATAAGGATGTAATAAAAGAATTAAGAAAATTTTTTAATCGACTATTTTTGTAAACAAATTTCTAGTAATTTTTATTGTAGGTGCAACATACTTTTCTATTACATCTGTTGCGTAATTTTATCTCAATAAATAAGACACGGTATATTGCTTTCAAAAGGAAATAATCTAATTTATAAAGCACATCCAAAATTGTTTAATTGTTTTACGAAAAAGATATTATTTCAAGAAACGTGAAAAAGCTATTTACTTGTTTTCACAATATTTTTTACAAAATTGTTTTACATTTAAGTACATGTATATATATTAATATACATACAATGTATATTATACACGCGTTCTTTATAATTAAAAATCCACTCAAATTACCAAGATACCTTATCTAATTGTAAGTAGTTATAAAATGCTTAACATCCTGATCGTAAGATGGCACCACGTAGGTATATTTCCATTCGACAAATGCAGAATAAATTGCTTTACTCACTTACAACTTACATTCAAATCCGATACTCGTCATTTCTATATCAATTCATTCCAACAAGTAAACAAAGGGGGCCAATTTTTACGAGCATAAAAATTGACAATCGAAGTTGTTAACATCGATCGAAGTTGTTAACATTGAAACATAAGATAGCGGACGCGTTTCAGCACGCAGTGCTTTCATCAGCGCAAATTTAAATGAAATAGTTGAATCGCTTAGTACATAATTGTCGATAGATGTACATTTTAGATCGAGTAAAACAAATAGAATTAGTCAGAAGTTAAAAAACGTCGCTGAGGTAAGTGGACGTAACGGTTGTGGTCAGTGTTTTGAGTAAATGATGATGGATATGATCTTAATTTCTATAATATAAGAGGTTGGATTGGCCTATACAGGGTGTACTAAAACCACCAGATATCCTTTCAATCACAGATTCTTTAGAAAATTGCAAGACAAAAATTCTAATACAAAAATGTCGAGGCTACAATAGTTTTTAAATAATAAGCGAGTATATTTCGCCAATGATAGGCCTGAGATTTCGCGCGCTCAGGCATGGCGATGTGACGAGTGATAAAAGTGTTTCTATGAATGTCGCCCTTCTTATTTAATTCAAGTATAAATTTGCAACGTGTTGTAACTTCAAAATGTTGCAGCTGTCAAAGTGATCGATCAACATCGGTTACCAAGAAGGTTGTTACTGTGCTAAAAAGGGCGACGTTCATACGAACACTTTTGTCACTTGTCACTGAGCGCGCGAAATCTCAGGCCTATCATTGGTGAAATATACGCGCTCATTATTTAAAAACTATTGTAGCCTCGACATTTCTGTATTAGAATTTTTGTCTTGAGATTTTCTAAAGAATCTGTTATTAAAAGGATATCCGGTGGTTTTAGTACACCCTGTATAGAGTCTCTTAGAGTTGGTTCAATTTAGGTCCGTTTGATCTAGTGAACGTTAATCTTTATGATAATTCGTTAGCCGTTATTCGACGTGGTGTGTGGTTTGTAGTACCTTATATGTTTCCTTTTGGCCAGTTTTAAACGTTTTAAACGCCAGTTGATTTGAAAATCTTATGTTTCAATGTTAACAACTTCGATATTTAAATATATATTACCTTGTCAACTTTTTATGCTCGTAAAAATTGGCCTCCTTAGTTTACTTGTTGTTAAATATAATACGAGCGGAATTATTATTTTGTCAATCCATTCCATTATTTCTGCTTAATGAAAAAATCATTTGCGCATTACCGGGATTATTTTACGTGAAATCTATTTAAACAATTAAAAGATAACTTCGAGCATAGGGAAAAAGATTCCGTCACACACGTTTTTATGATTATATGTAACATGTTCGATAAGCTTACATGCTTGTAATATTTATGTAACGCGCAGAAACTTGAATGTATTTTTTTATGACAGGTGTCGAAATGAGATTCAGAATTGTACGAATGAATGTTTCACACCTGTATACGACACGTTTCGCCTCCTTAACAGCTATAAAATAATCTCAAATGATTTGTTCCAAGACGCCGATGCAATTTGCATACGCGTGACGAAGAGCAATAGGGGTATAATCCTTTTTTTCAGAGAGGAAAGGCGACACACACGACCCGGAAAATCATACACTCTGTTTTCAGTTACACGTGTTCTTATTCAAGTCACGTTCCGACGACAAGGGTAATAGCCCCGAACTTTGTCTTCGTCGGATCAGCTTAACTTCCGGTAGTAAAATTTCACGAAATTCTAGTGCGGTCTCGGCGAAATATGTTTTCTGTGGTTCCTGGCATTTTTCAGTTTGATCGATCACTGCCACGTTGTTGTACGTAGGAAGCCGGAGATACAGCGGACGTTTTTATGAGTTGCCCGGAACATGGACGTTACGTCACACCGATTAATTTACATTAGCGTAACATACGCTCGCGATTCTGCGAAATTAAATTAAACGAACGCTCCGGGGGTGAAGAAACCAAAGTTCATTTTAATTTAAGAAAATTAGTCGAACGAATAACGAATCTTCGTTAACGCAATCGCGAAACATTTGCCGAGCCACGTCCGCATTTTTTTTCCAACGCAACTGTGTGTTCCAATTATCCGTATCTATTACCGAGTTATCTGATGTTCAATATACGGCGGCGCGACGACACGACAAGGGAAAAAAAACCGATATGGCGAAATCACATTATGCCCTAGTAATCCGCGCTGCATTACGATGAATGCTGCACGTGTCTGCGGCTTTTCTGCGTCACGAGATTCATGAATGCAAATATTCCGCGAATAAAGAGTCACGCGCGCTCTTTACATCATTCACCTTTCTCATTTTTGTTCCGCGTCTCCCTCCGCGCCGCCCTCGCCCGTTGCCTTTGTTCTTCCTCTTACGTTATTTCCCTCCCGCTCTCCTCCGCAACTTGTCGAACTTCAACTCTGGACGCGCCCTGATACGCGCCACCCGTTTTCGCGTTTATGATTTAACGAACGCACCTCCGCACCTTCCGCACCATCGACAACAGTCCGCGCTTCCTTCCTCGATAAATCTCCGGCGTACGCCTTATTATAAACTCTTTTGCGCGGCGCAATTTAAAAGTGTAGCTCGCAAGTTCGTCCCATGAAGCTTCGTATTAAGCTTCCACTTTAAAAGCGGCACCTCGGCAGCCGGTAGAAGTATCGCCGAAGTTTAGCTAATCATTTCTCATCGCGGACGCTGATAAATTATTCAATTATAACGTCCACCGCCGCCGACCCAACAATTTCGAGGCGCAGGAAAGGAAGGGCAGGGGGGGGGGGAGAAGGCGCGGTAAACATTCCTCGACATTCCTCGCTATTCGAACACATCGCGCGATATCGAATTAGTATCGTGCCGGCAGTGCGGAGATTAAAGTCAGATTTCGAAGTACTTGGTAATTCCCTGTACGTATTTCTCGCACGTAGTCGCAGCTTGATATATTTAACCTCCCTTTGACCCTGCGCGCCCTTTTAAGTGCATCATTACGTATTCTCTTTTGTAACGCCGGTCTTTATGCAGACCACATTCGCAGCACCTTCCTATTCTTCATCATATCGCATATTAACCGTGTAGGGTATTAATTGTATAATTTTAGCCCTTATTGTAAATGTCTTCTATCAGCTCAATACGTGTATGACAAATATCTAAATAAAGGTGTGCGCGTGTGTGTATAAATATACGATACATGCGCGAGTATATATCGCGTTAATAATTCTTTATATTAGTATTAATCCGAAACGACAGAGAGGAAACAAATGACTGAAATAAGCCTTCGAGATGGAATGTGACTAATGTACATTTCTACCAATGCAGATTAACCTTGATCTCGGTTTAACTTACTTGTTTTTTTTGTTCTAGTTTCGGGAATTGGACAAAGTTTAAAACTTGTTAGTGAAGCAGAGATTAAAATTAATCTGCATTGGCAGAAATGGGCATAAAATACTTTTTACTGATGCATTAAACTATTAATTAATTACTGGCATTTATATGGAAGGCGATTGTGGGTGTTTACGTGATAGCGAACGAAGAGCCGAATTATTTACACTTTCCTTAGCGCTTTGTTGATCCGTGATAAATTTCAGCAAATGTTAAATTTCGTATCGTATCTGTATTGCCTGCGCTATGCAGCATCTTGTTAATAGAAACGCACAGTGGATCTCTTTCGATCTGTGCACGGGAAGTTTTGCGATCGAACAAATCTAAGGATAGCTCGCCGGCTTTAATTGGAATCTATTTACATCTCCCGGCGTTTCAACGCGCAGCTCTGTTAATATCGCTTTCCTCGGCGTGTTCACCTTGCCGTTGTATGACACTTTGTTCCAGTTCCACAACACGATGGCAGAGAAAGAGGTCGGAAGTTCTTGGATGTCGGTAATGAATATATGAATGAATAAGCGGTCGCCGTTTGTCACTCGAGAATTGTACATGTATGTCGTTTCACGAATATCTCGCATATCAAGATTCCATTTTCAGTGCCAACAAGATCTAACGAGTGCAAACGTACATATGTCGCTATCCTTATCGAAGAAACTTGAACTCTTAAACAAAGTCCAAGAAAAGCCAATTTTCGGTAAGTTTTTTCAGGAATATAGGGTAAGCGAAGCTATTTCGGAATACTTTTTACAAAATTTGCTGTATTGTTTACATAAAATCTTGTAAAATAAATCTGATTAGTATATGCTAGTTAAGAAGTCATCCTTTAACTATTAATTAGGCATAAAGCAATATTTGAAGGAGACTTTGTTTTTAAATGGCGGACAATCAATTCAAGTACTAAATTCTTTCCGAATTAGGTTCACGTGCAATTTTGACTTGTTCTGCATATACGTTAAACTATGACAGCTAGGAAATGTTGTGGTATATAACGTTTTTCCCATTCTTCA